CCCTCCCCCCCCCCCCCCGCCCCAGCTAATGTCAACCCCGTCCCTTCCTGAGCTCTGGGTTTGGAGGGAAGGTAGTGAGTAAACACAGCTCAGCGCAATAAACCCTCGGCTGTTGCCCTTCGGCGCCTGACGGTGTGATAAGCCGGTGCGGGTAGCTTAGCAACTGGATAACGTGGGGACGGAGGCTGGCTCTGCGTGGGGCCGCTGGCAGGGGGGCACCCATGGGGGCTTCCCTGGGGGATGCTGGTGGGAATGGGGTGGGGGCTGTGTTGGGTTTTGGGACTGGAGGCGGAAAGTTCCTGCTCGTGTATCGGTGCTAAAGAGAGGAAAGGCTGCGTAATGGCAGAGCTGTTGCTTGCCTGGAGCAGGGGGGTACGGACACAGGACTGGGTGCTGAGCCAGCCGCCTCCAGGCAGAGCAAGAAACCAGGCTGCTTGGAAAGGGATGTGGCGTAATTGTTCTCTGAACCCTTTTCTCCGTCGCGACTACATGGGAGGATGGGGCCCCCGGGGCTTTTTCCAGGCCCAGCTCCTCTTCAAGAGCCCGGCACCAGTGGGAGGCTTGGCCAGGCTGAGGTTTGACCAATGGACCACACCAAAGCCAGCTCCTCCGGCTGTGTCTTGTGGTGGCAGACCCTCTGCCTGGAGCACCCTCCACCCCGCTCCCTTCCCCTGCCTTCCTTCTCCACCCCAGCACACTGGCTTTGTCAGTATATGGCATGTTAATGCTTTCATGTGCGCTTACTCCTTTAAAACACACTCTTCTCATTAGGGAAATTTAATTATTTTGTTTTCTTTTGCTGGCTCTCAACTGCCCAGACATTGGGATTTATTTTTTTTTTTTTGCTAGCAGGAAACCAAGTAGATGCATTGTGCAACAGAGGGAAAGGAACCAGCATGGGAAACTGGGAGAGCATTGGGCTTTCTGGAGATCAAACAACCCTCTCTGCTCAAACTAACATCTTCCCTTTTAAGGGTGACTTGTCACCTAGGAGAAGGTAAAGGGGACAGCCCTGGGGCATGCAGGACCTGCAGGCGGGGCTGGAGTGAGGTACGCCACAAGGCCTGCAGTCTTTTGCTCCTGTCTCCTCCGCTGCCGTGAAAAAGCTGATTTCCAGCTGGCTGGGGTGGGCTGCATTGGCTGTGCAGATGGAGCACGCGTGGGGGCCATACTTGCCACGCAGAATTTGAGTGGGGGTCACGCTGGCAGCGCAGCCTCGCTGACAGACCCTTTCCCTCCCCCTCGCAGGGGAACCGAGCCTGGAGAGCGCTGGCTTTGGTAATTCAGCAGCAGCCGGCAGAGCTCCCTGCGTTACTTATTAACCACAGCGCAGAGCTCTGCTCCTTTCTCCCTTTCCCCCTGCCTTTTCTCAGAGGCTGGAGCTGATGCTGAAACCTTCCTGCCTGTCCTTTGCTGCTGCCTGTAAAGCAACCGCCGGATTTCCCAGCAGCGACTTACCATCGCCCGTGCGTCTCCGTGGCCTCCGTCCCTGGTCCCAGCTGGCTGGTGCACGCCGTACCGGAGCCCCGTGGAGCCGTCGCTTGTCGGGGCGATGGGAGGCGTGGCGAGGGGGCTGGGTCCACCCACGGTGAAACCACTGTCCGCGCCTTTCCCAATGCTGCCTGGCAGCGGCCACCCGCCTGCTGGGCCCTGCGGGGCCCTGGGGCTTGGGGGATGCTAAAAGAGGGTCTCTCTGAACCCCTGCGTGCTGAAGGGGTGATGTGTTCACCCCATGACCCACCCACCTGTAGGCTTGCTTTTTTAACCTGTTGCACAAGCAAAAGGCAGAAACGGGATGGAGAGGGGCAGCTAAAGCCGGTGCTGCTGGCCACACGTGTGATGAATGTGACAGTCATCCTGGGGGAGCACACGTCTGCCTCCCAGCCATTTGAGCTCTGTGCACGGATAATCATGAGCCCAGGGCTGCATTGTCTGGGGACAGCCTGGATTATCTTGCAGCACGTGGACTGAGAGACAGGGTATTGGGGGGAGTGTGTGTGGCACAACGCTTCTGAGCATTTTTAAGGTGTTTTCTTCTGTTGCTGAGGGAACCGTGTCTGCACGGATGCCGCGTGCTGCTCTCTGGCGTGTTTTCGCTCTCCAGGCCTGCCGGATTTGTGCCCGTGTCCTGCAGCTTGTCGTCTGCTAAACCCACTCGCGCGATGGGCAATTTTCCAGCGCCGACAACAATTTTGTACCATGCTGATGTATGTGGTAGACAGAAATACAGCACCCCGCTATACCTGCATGGCTTGCTTTTACCCTTGAAGCAACTGATTCTGGAAATTTTTTAATGTAGTGTGACATACATCCCTTGTATGCATGTTTTGTTTTCTACAGTTAGGGTTTGTGAGTGCCACAGAGGTGATTTGTTTCTCCAGCAGGCAAGTTAGAGGGAAGCAAATTCTTCCTTTCCTTTTTTTTTGCCCTCTATAGATTTGCTTGCCAGGGTAATGAAAAGGCAAAATGAGCGTCTTTTGTGTCCTGGGAGACCCTGAGTGTCTGTCTGGGGAAGAAAAGAGTTGGAGAGCAGTGCAGCACCTGAGAAGAAAATAATTGTGTGCAGATATGAAGCTGGGAGCTTTGATACGGATGAGAAGTGGAGGGGATGCTGTATGGTTTCCGGCAATGAAACTGGGAGATGGGATTGTTTGTAAGGTGGGGAAAGGCCAGCAGAATATTTTCGTGGTGTAAATTTGAATTGGACTGGCAGGCTCACCAGCACAGCCCAGCAGAAGCACCCCTGTAAACACTGGCCTAAGCAGGAGGTAAAGGTATTGCCGTGAAGTTGTGCGTGGAAATCTGGGTGCTGCAGAGAACAGCTATGTTCCGGGGATCTCAGTTGGGGTTTTCTCAAGGAAAGAGTTTTGATGGTGGCTTGTCAGGGCCTCAAATGCCTCTTGGCTAGGTGACGCTGCCTCTGTTGGCCCCCCTCTTGATGTGGAGATTGGGGAGGAAGCAAATACCCCACCTCTCATGGTACCCCGCTTTCCCTCTGTTGGATTTTATCCCAGCACAGCTGGGAGCTGATCCTATTTACCTTGCCAATGCACATGCTGCCAGTACAGAGCAACTGATAGACACCTCAGCTCATTAGAGGTGAGAATTTCTGTGGTTGGAGAACATCAGGAGAAAAACGATTAATTATACTGTGTCTGCTGATTACCCAGCTCCTTTGTAATGGCATTTTCTCTCCTAGGTTATAAATCAAG